TTTTTTTTTTAATAGATTTTAAATGATGTAGTGTTTATCTATATTATTAGTGCTAAGAATGGATATATGACTAAATATATCTAAAAGTAAAAATTAAAAATTCATATGGTATTTATACAAATTTAATAAATTGTTGTTATAAAAACTTAAGACTAGTATTTATTTCTTATTTTATGGTCTTTAGATAGGCGAGGCTATGCTCATCCTTACTTCATAATAAGTCCACAACTCTCTTGGACCCAAAAAATTGTTTACCAACCATCCCACGAGGATGTAACCTGTTTTTATTCGAGGCTGATTATTGCTTAATTATTTTTCATTAGCCAATAGCATATGCCCATGCGCTGCCTGGCCATATTCTCATTAGGATATAAGAAAAGCTTTATTCAATGATTCCAGCACAAATTGTTTTGAAAAAACAAAACCCTACGGAATTTTTTATATTATTCTTCTATTCTATTAGATTAACTTCAACTTCACGTGGTATGTGGAATTGGGGAGAACACAATTTGGGATTTTGAAGAAAAGTTTTAAGTTTGTCCTTTAACATTTTTTTAGAACGATAATATATATTAAACTCACACATACTAATGTTAGGATTCAAATTCAAGATCTTGCTGAGGAATAATTGCTCCGAACTATTACATTAGCGGGTTCTTTGCGCCCTTTAACATTCTATTAATGGAAACAAAAGAAGCTTTTGGAAATTAGTAAAAGATTTTTGAAAGGAAAGGGGTAAAAAAATTAGAAGTAGATGATTTGGTACATTATTGCTAGATCTTTAATTTAATGGTTTGGATGCTATTAGGAAAGTTGTAGTAAATGATTTGGTGCATTATTGCTAGATTCTTTTCGTTTACAATCAAAACCCTCACCTCCCAAAGAAAGAAAAAAAACCCCACTAAAAATCCCGATCTTTAAAGAAATAATAATGTTTAGAAATAAAAACAAAAAGTTAATTAGATGGATTAGGACCACAAATAAAAAATCACCAAGTTAACCTAATCATGCAAAATTAAATTTAAACCAATTAATCCGATCTATCAATCACTGACAAATATATAATCCTCTCCCCCTCCCTCCCTTTCCCTAAACCTCAATCCATATCCTCCACCCAAACCAAACCTCTCTCTCTCTCTCTCTCTCTCTCTGTATGTATTTAATGCAAAGCGGCTACTTCAGGCACAGTGAATAACCAAACCAAAACGTACGTGCTCTCTCTCTCTCTCTCTTTGTTTTTCTGTGTTATAGTCAACGCGGTCAAACATCACTTCACACTATAGGCCCCGGTGATCAACAGTCAAAAAAAATGCTCGAGACCGTGAAGTACCTGCTCGGATCGGCCGGCGCGAGCGGCTACGGCTCAAGGAGCACAGCCGAGCAAGTCACCGAGAGCTCTCCCGATCTGCGCCACATCACCGCCATCATCACAGGTACGCAAGTGTGCTTAATAACCACCGTCCGATTAAGGTGATTTGCTTTTCATTTTGATGATCAGCTTCTGATTTTGACGACCGTGTGGCTTTTTTCGAATTCATCAGGTGCTACTTCAGGGATCGGCGCCGAGACGGCTCGTGTTTTAGCTAAGCGCCGGGCCAGGCTGGTCCTCCCTGCTCGGAGCCTCAAAGCGGCCGAGGACGCCAAGGCTCGGATCGTCTCGGAGTTTCCCGACTCGGAGATCATCATCATGGCGCTTGATCTTAGCTCTCTCACTTCTGTCAGGAACTTCGTCTCCGAGTTCGAGTCCCTTCAGCTGCCTCTTAATCTGCTCATGTAACTCTCTCTCTATCTCTCTCTCTTGTTGTTTTCTGTTTGGCTGCCGAGAAAATGCGGGAAACGATAAGAAAATTAGCCAACTAAAAAGTTTCTTTTTGGTTTGTTTGTGTCAGAAACAACGCCGGAAAGTTCGCGCACGAGCACGCGATTTCCGAAGACGGAATCGAAATGACCTTTGCGACTAATTATCTAGGTTATTAGTACTAACACTCCGACTAATACTTAAATTAATATTTAATTTTTTGTTTTTTCGTTTTTTTGACAGAATATTTATTAAAAAATTTCAGGTCATTTTCTGTTGACGAAGCTGCTGCTCAACAAAATGATCAGAACGGCGGAGGCTACCGGCGTTCAAGGCCGAATCGTGAACGTCTCGTCGGCGGTTCACGGCTGGTTTTCGGGCGATGCCATCCGATATCTCGGCGAGATAAGCCGAAGTGGAAGGTGAGCGAGTTAAAAGAATCGGGAACTGTAGCCGATTATTTATGGTGCATTTAGTGATAAGTGAGCAAGAAAAAAAAATTTATGCGGTACCAAACTAAAATTCGTAATTTTATATTCAGAAAAATCACTAATTAATTGATCTTATTCTCGTTCATTCATTTTTTTATTTTTTATTTTTTTGAATTATTAAATAATATACGTGAATTAAGTGAGTTGATCAAGATAGTTTCTCCGTCATTTTATACCCGAATTCCATTCACTTTTCGTATAAAAGAATAATTTGAAATATTGCATTATTAAATAAATTTTAAAAAAAATTCCCATTCAATATGAGATTATTTGGATTTTTTTTTTAATTTTAATTAATTTGTCTTTGAGAGTTCGACATTTGTTTATTTGTATTGAAATTTTTGGTGTGGGTGGTTAACAGCGATTACGACGAGACACGTGCGTATGCGCTCTCGAAGCTGGCCAACGTCTTGCACACCAAGGAACTCGCTCGCAGACTCAAGGTTCGCATTATCATTATTAAAGACAAACACACACACGCTGCCTGATGATTATCGATATAAATAAATAATTTATTATAAGTATTAAAAGGTGGCTTTTGTTTGTTGTCTTAAATGATTATCGTTGCTAATTTCTTTGTTGTAATATTGTTGTTTTGTTTTTACTAAAATCATCAGGAAATGGGCGCCAACGTGACCGTTAACTGTGTCCATCCAGGAATCGTTAGGACACGCCTCACCCGAGAACGTGAAGGCCTTGCCACAGGTTTCCTTTTTATTTCTACAATTTTATTAATTTAAAATAATTTTTTGTGTTTGCTGAATTAAATGCTCACCCGAGAACGTGAAGGCCTTGCCACAGGTTTCCTTTTTATTTCTACAAATTTATTAATTTAAAATAATTTTTTGTGTTTGCTGAATTAAATGAGTTTTGAATATGTAGATTTGGCGTTCCTCATGGCTTCCAAGCTATTGAAAACAATACCCCAGGTTATATTTGTTAGCCTAATCCTTCCTTTTTTTTTAAAAAATGTTCAATAAATTTAGTATTACATTGTACTGAGTTTAGTTTGTTGTGGAAGGCTGCGGCGACAACATGTTATGCCGCGACGCATCCAAGGCTGGCGGATGTGTCCGGGAAGTACTTCGCCGACTGCAATGAAACCTCGCCGTCGAAATTGGGGTCTAACCTAAGCGAAGCTGCTCGGTTATGGTCGGCCTCTGAAATCATGGTGTCCAAGTCCAAATCCTGCAATGCGATTTTTTATCCGAGCAGCCAATTGGAGTACTAAAAGAGTAGAAAACAGGACATCATCATCAACTATATATTATAGATATAAATATCAAGAGAGAAACAGAAAAGCATCTTAATCATATGACTAGTTACTGCTTAATGGATGTTTAATTAGTAGCTAAATACAGTGGTAGGAAGGAAGAAGGAACATCGTCCTAAAATTATATATATAATTGTACACGGCTTTGAACATGTATAGTACTAGTTTCAGTAGTACGATAGTGGTATGGATTATATATAATTAATTAGATAAAGGAAGGCTTTTGATGTATGAATATATTTATGTGAAGAATGGTTTTCTTAGTTGGTACCAAGTCATGACCAGATTGGATTTGGTGTGTGTGTATATATATAATGACACAAAGGTATAATATTATCGAATTAATTAGAGTTTCTACTGTGGACTTTGGTTGGAGATGAAAGTGTTTGGAACCCTAGTTTGTGTATATTTGTTGAATAGTATATGTTGGTTTTTCTTTAAGCAAAATATATTTGTTCTTTTGCGAAACGGGTCTAACCCGAGAGAAAAGAGCCTTGATTTGCAGAGTAGAAGTCTTAGATTTAAAGAATAAGAGGACATTAAGAACATGGGGTCAGTTTGTTGCATGTGGTGGTTGAATTTTGAAGAGTATCTTTGGGGCTACAGTTTGGGGCCCTACTACTAACATGCGTGGTGGTCACCGATCGATGCATGCGTTCAAGGAAAGGAAGTTCAACTTCTCGATCAAAACCCCTTTTTAAAATCACCAGCTTTCCCTCTTTTTAATTATATAAATTTCATATTATTTTCAAGGGAGAATTCAATTCAAAGCTAACCACAAAGAAGAAAGGAAGAGAAAAAAAAATGAAGATGTGGATTTGACAGAGGTGGGAGGGAAGAAAGACAGAAGGGCTCTGTCAAATGGTTAGGGCAAACAAAAGAAAAGTACAAAGCATTAAAGGCAGTCACAGAAACCCTAGTTTGTTGCGAAGGACTTTTTGAGTTATCCATCTACACACGAATTCTCGAAGACCAAAGCCAAATAAGGCATGTAGACGAACACGAAGACAAAGCAGTTATGTTGGTGTTGTTGATACTGGCTCCCCCCCCCCCCCCCCCCCCCAATAAATAACATCTGCCATTGCCTAACATTTCTCAGGTTGATTATTGCTGTCATTAATTCATGACCACCTTAACTTAAACACAGCTCAGCTGATGATCTTTTGGTTAGCAAAAAACAATAACTACAAGTTACCATTTACCAAGCTCCTTTTTACGGTGGTCAAAGGATTATAACTCGACCAAGAGACATAAATTGTGTGTTGTGAGTCAAAAGCTAACTAGCTTTACCGACAGACAAAGTGAATGATCGTTTACCCTGTTGCCTATGCTTTGACTATTGATGAGGATAATGTTGTACCATGAAGATGCTATGTCGGATTATAATTAAAAAAATAAAAATATTAGCAATATGGATGGTATTAGTTAGTGTTTTATATAAATCCTAAATAGAGGTTCTACATAGGAAGGTAATGTTGTTATTACCCTATTCCTTTCCCCTTGATCTCAAGAAAAATATTGATTTCAGAGGATAGATAAGGATTCGATCCAAAAGAAATTATGAGTTAGAGCAAATGCAAGGTTGTTGGGCCAATGTTTTTAGTATTATTATAGTTACACATTTCAAGAAGGATAACATACTCACACAAGAAGGATCATTGAAGGGGCGAGTGGGACAAAAATATAGCCCCTTCATTGCACATGATACGATATGCAAATGCTATAATTTCTCCTTAGCCTATCTCCAATAGTGGGTTAAATCCTCAAATTTAGCCGTTTCACACTCCCAACTCATCTTCAACAAGTGGGCTAAATGTGTCATGTCATTGAGCCAAACCCAATCAGCAGGCTAAAAGGGCCAAATGTGGCATACTTCTTGGATGGGCTATATCTTATTTTATTATTTCTTAGGTGGGTCAGTTGTTGTTTTTAAATTAATGTATTATTATTATTTTTAAATTAATGTTTTAGTTTCTTGGGTGGGCTGTTGTTGTTTTTAAATTAATCCTTTATTATCTGAAAAATATTTTTCATTTCTAAAATCTTATTCGTGGATGTCAAAAAATTTATCCAAAAATATTTTTCTCTACTCACACAAGAAGGATCATTGAAGGGGCGAGTGGGACAAAAATATAGCCCCTTCAATGCACATGATATAATACGATATGCAAATGCTATAATTTATCCTTAGCCTATCTTCAATAGTGGGTTAAATCCTCAAATTTAGCCCTTTCACACCCCCAAATCATCTCCAACAAGTGGACTAAATGTGTCATGTCATTGAGCCAAACTCAATCAGCAGGCTAAAAGGGCCAAATGTGGCATACTTTTTGGATGAGCTATATCTTATTTTATTATTTCTTAGGTGGGTTAGTTGTTGTTTTTAAATTAATGTATTGTTATTATTTTTAAATTAATGTTTTAGTTTCTTGGGTGCGCTTTTTAAATTAATCCTATCATATCTGAAAATAATTTTTCATTTCTAAAATCTTATTCGTGGATGTCAAAAAATTTATCCAAAAATATTTTTCTCTTCTAAAATATATTTTAAGTAGGGTCTAAAATAGTACTTTAATTAAAGTATTCAATATATTTAAAGAATATACTAAAAACTAATAAAATATTGAGGAGGCTATGATTTAGCTATGCACTTATGGAGATGATAAAAAATATAGCCCAACACTATTTCTTAAAAAAATATAAATAATGGGCTAAATTTTATGTGTGGGCTATGTTTAGCCCTCCACTACTAGAGATGGCCTTATTAAGCTCAACTTTTGTGGGTTTTGTTAATTTCCTTAATATTATTAAAAATAAGATAATTAAAAATAAAATAAAAAACCTCCAAGTTCACTACAAAAGCCAAGCCCAATATACTTGTACGGCTCATATATTCACACCCACATACAAGCCCAATAAAAAGCCCAAAAGGCTAAAACCCTGAAGTCCCATAAACCTCTGAAGACAACTTAACAAAACCCAACCATCTTGTCTTCCTCATTCACAGACGGGGCACAACTCCAACCAGATCCTCACCCCTACCGAAAATGGCGACCACCCTGCTCCCCGAGACTGCCCAAAAGGTCCTAACCCAAGAAACTCTCCGCTCCGCTGCCAAACAGTCCCAGCGCTGCCTCACAACCCCACT